TTGTATATATACATACATACATACATACATTATATAAATATATACATTTATATATAAAAATAAATATAAATATAAAAATAAATATATATATATACATACATATATATATAAATAGATATATATACATAATATCAGTGTATGCACACATGCATATGTATACGAATATAAATGCATATGGACACGCATACATGGTTTGAATATGTATACCTATATAACATATGACTACGTCACACACAGGAGAGGTTTCCCGAGATGCAATTCATCAGCCAACTATCGCAATTGAACCCGTTGGCGACAACGCAGAGTGTCATCTACATACGTCTACCTTCCTACATACGCGGGACTATCGTATCCACGCAGAACTTTTAATTATCTCCTATGCATTGGTGAAGTACACGTTTTCTATTACAGTATCTATACATACCCAGATCCATTTTCTTCGTGTCTCGGTATATTACACCTTTAAACCACACAGTATGTATACAAACACCCACCCCCCCTCTATATACCAACAGATAGCATACGCACCCACAACACACCTGGAGGTGTCTGTGAGGTCGACTTCATCAGCCAGCCACCGCAACTGAACCCATCTACAATGTCATCTGGTGCCGATCCTTCAGTACCTGCACCCCATACAGCATCGCCACCCTTTGGTAACATCTGTGCCAATGAGTACCATGTCTGGAACAGCTTGACACGATTGTATCTCGAAGTCACGCCAATCATCTCTATGAGCTGGTCGAGGACGCCTGTGTGAGTTTGTAGTTACGAAAGGGTTGGTGTGGAGAAGTTTGATGGCGTCATGAGTATATATATATATAATATATACATACATACATACAGACATACAGACATACATACATCCATACACAAACACACACACACACATATATATATAATATAATATATATATATATATATATATATATATATGTTTGTGAGGCGATGACAGCGATACCATACATGAAACTCAGAAATGCATATACACAAGGTGTTTTAATTGGTTGCACGTTGTAAATAAGCTGATACTTGGCATGCCGCGAATTAAGCAATAGGAGCACCACACGACAGACGAGTGCGTCCTTTCAAAACGAGTGTAATAACCCAACGTCAAAACCTACAACCCTACAACCTCTGAACAACAGCCCCACACTCTATGCGCGAATTAACGGATCGATCCATTTGATCGACTTTATAGAGGAGCGGTGAAATGCCTCCTCTAGGCATCTATTAATAGTACAATGAATCTATAAATATAACAATCTCATCATATGTCACCTAGACCTACCCAAATTGCTCGTGTCCTTCATTTCACCACTCACCAACGCAGACACTGACTTAGGCATCCCCAAATTTGCGCCTGCAATGCTTACAGATGCGTGTATGTGCGTGTCTACCCACTGTCTTCCACCTTTCCCCCCTACGTCGCTTTCCACCCATCTGTGGTACGTAGTCAATAAAAAATATACTATAAGGGCATATATATATATATATAGTTATATAGTTATATCCTATATACATAGGTATATATAGATATACAAAGATACACACACACACACACACACACACACACACACATATATATATATATAAATATATATCTATGTCGATATCTATATCTGTATGTATATGTATAT